CCCCATCCTGCCTCCTCCCGACTCAACGCGCGCTCGCTCGAGGCATCTCCACAATTTGCTCAAGCATGGCTCCGCCCTGAGAAGCCCCTGCACCATACCAATACATCGTGCTCGCGCGTCGGCGCACGCTACCTCCTCCGTCGGGCCAGGGGAGCCTAGACCCCTCCCAGAGCACAATTCAGCAACAGAAGTGGAATCAAATGGTTCGTTTGGGTCTGACCCCATCCTCCCTCCTCCTTCCTCCATCTCAGAGCCCAGAGTTGCGAGGATTTGGGCGAAATGAGCAGGACCACATCGCACCCAGCATCTCGGAGCTCAGGGTTGCGTCTCAGACGAACCCACCTCTTGCGCGGCATGTTGGACCTCATAGATGGAAGGATACCTCAGGCGAAACGGGCCAAACCACGAACTCCTAATCCCTGCCAACTCGGAAAAGAAGGTTGTGAGGATGTCTTAGATGGAAACAGCCGGGACCACCTCATTTGTTTGAGGATGTTTCGTCGCGCCCTTGCCTGAGCATCGTTTCTCCGATTCCTATCCCCACTGGCGTGGTCCAGGCCCCACTGGCCGATTTAGCCCCTAAGATAGGGATATAGGCTGTTCCCTTTGGGTTTCGAGAGACCTATCTCCAGCTGCGGTGGTGGGATGGTGGGCTGAAGTGCAATGGCCCGGTGGTCGGATAGGCTAAACGATACTGATTCCCTCAGCCGGAACTAGCTTCTGACAGCACCACGTTCAGTAAGCTGTTTGGGGACAGAAAATAACAAAAGCATGACTCCCCAACATAGTGCTTGCACTGGAGGGCTTTCCACTCACTGCCAACGTAAAGAGCTGCTCAGCGCCGTCGAGAGTTGGGTTGGGCGCCACTGACTGCCAAATGCCGCCGGAGCTTCGTGTGGACGCCGACAACCCGTGCTGCCCTGACCGCCAAGCGCCACTGGGAAGGCCTGTTGATCGCTGGCTGGCCCACAACTACTCGACAGTGCCCGCTGCCCTCGCTGCTGTCGTCGGGCTTCGGATTGGTCGCCGACTGCCCCGACTGGCCGCACTGCCCGGGTTGCTTGGGGTTTGCGTTGGCCTCCGAATTGCCCCGCATAGCTCCGACCAGCCCCGCTGCCCAGACAGCCTAGTGCAGTCGGGATGCCGGTTGGCCGCTGACCCCGTAGCTCCGAATGGCCCCGACTGGCCTCGCTGCCTTACTGCTCTACGTCGTGAGGATTTCGTATGGCCGCCACTGAGCCCCGAATGGCCACTCTGCCCCGATTTCTCTATGCCGTTGGGGCGTGGGAGCTCCGCCGATTTGCCCCGAGAAGCCTTGATCACCTAGTGCTGGCAGAGGTTTGTCTGGCCGTAAACTACTGCCAACCAACCCCCAACCCGGCTGGCCCCACTGCCGCCAGCTACCTGATTGCCAGGTGACGCCTGCAATTCGGTCGACCGCTAGCCCTCCCTGACCAGATCCGACTGGCCCCACTACTGCTTACTGTCATTATTTCAACTGACCGGTAACTGCCCCCCGATCTGTCTCAGTGCTGTCGGAATTTACGTTGGCCGCCGACGAGGCCCCGACGACCCCTGAAGCCCTGGTGGCCCGGTGCCACTGAGCCTCTGGGTGGCCGCCGACTGGCCCCGACCCTTGCCGGCGGCAAGGGTGTCGGTCTCAGGCTCGCCCTGCTGTCCCGCTGCCTCCGCTGCTCATTTCGCGTTGTCGGCATCTCGGTTGGGCCCCGACAGGTCCCGACTGGCCCTGGCCAGCCCTGCTACCTGATCTCATGGTGCAGTAAGGATGCTGGTCGGCACGCGATCTCTGGGGGCCACACGAGACGAACCAAGATCGCCCTAAGAAGGTCTCGAGATAGCCCACGACTGGACCAACACCGCTTCAAATGAGCCAAACACCGCTCCAACTGGGTGGCCTGATAGACGAAACCCACAAACCTTCCAAACCAGGCCGTGCCATGCGACAGCGTTGCTGCAGAGCTCCTTTCCATTGGCAAAGCCAGAAGCATTGAATAACGTGCCATTCGAAAAATGCCATCCTTCTCCCTGCTCCTCATTCTCCCATGTTTCCCCACCTGCCCTGAGAACCAACATCCGACTGGCACAACGACGGCAAATATTATCCCAAATGCATCTGCGTAATGTCCAGTACTGGCCATCGCTCGGAAGTCCATTCCCTGTGTTTTTGTTCGGTTTCGTGCGTGGCTTTTTCGCCGAATGATCAATGATGCTCCTCGCTGGCCCTCGCCGAGAAAAATGCACACGTCCGAGCGATGCCAGGAGTGTGTCCTCTAGTAGACACGGCCATCCAATGTGACACTACAGACACGGAGCACCCCCGCAACACCCTCAGGGGTGGCGGTCCCTGGCGGTCATGCGCGGCAGCGCACATGGATACATGTCTGCGCAGTGCCCACCCACCAATCGGCGTGCGTTAGCCTCCACACGAAGTAGCTCGTTCTCAACAGGCTCTCCCCGTGGAATGTTGATCAAAACGTGCTTACCAGCCCTCATCAAGTCGAATCGCTCTCCATGCAAATTCTGCAGATGCGGATCGCCAACAGCAGCCTGTGTGGACCCCCGGCGCTCCGCGTCCGCGCTGCCTCCTTTTTTCAACATCTGCGCGGGGGGAGTTGCCGAGCCGCACACCAAGACGAGGTCGCTGTACCCGTTGTCCTCCACCCGAGCGAAAGAGTTCCCCTCGTCGCAGTGTTTCCAGCGTGGATCCAGTTGGCTGGCTGCGCATTTGTGATGGAACTCGGCGTTGTTTGCACTTAAGGTAGGTAAAGCAGCGGACCATTCCTCTTCCGAGGCGTAGCGCAAACCAGGGCAGAACGACGAATACGTGGAAAGGGAACGGAGTTGAGAACAACCGCCAGAGCAAGGAGATGCCCATAGGAAACAGAGACCGTTGACCCAGTAACAAAAATCTTGCACACCTGCTGACCGCAAATTTCGGCGATCGATGGCGTCTGCCGCCCAGCAAAGGTTCCAATGCGAACTGTGCGAATGCCCCGAGACGGTAATGTCCGATGCTGGCGCAGAGAACCGAGCGACTTGGTTTTTCTCAACGATGTTGTTATCGTTGAATTCGGTGGCATACCCCTTGTCGGTGCTGCCCATTGGCTTCGCTGTGGACGGGTCGACCATCACCACGCAGGTGCCCAAGCCAGAGCCCACAATGCAATCATGCTCCACCTTGCAGTCGACATCACCATTCGTTTTGATTCCAAGTAACCAATCAATACCAACGCTTTCCTTGTGCCAGTCCGTCACTGTGAGATTGACAGAGGTTGCGGGCAACACCACGAGTAGGGAAATTGCCGACGTGAGCTGACTGACGAAGCGCATTTCTTGACAGGGTGGTGGTATGACTGACTTAGACCGAGGAAAGGGAATGTGTGATTGCAAGAACTGGTATGGATAGCGCTGAAGGGCCTTAAGCAAGTCCTTGAGCAAACCATGCCAACGGGGAGGAGGAGAAGCGTAGGACGCGGAGAAAGCACAGGTCCTGGTTGGTGGACTTAACGATCAAGTCTGCAGGAGGCGTTTGCTGACTCCCAACTTGAAACGAATCATTGTCATGGTGGTGATGATCTCAGTGGTTCTTGGAAAGGCCCTGGGCGGTTCTTTACATGTTCCGGGGCAGCAGCGTTGAGCCGGAAACGATCAACCTTGCTGGACGAAGGACCCGACCGTGTGCACAAACAGGTGCCGCAGCTGTGCGCATCGACCTCGGTGGCGCTCCTCGTGGGACCACGAATCGTGCGAGGGGGTGCCAGAATAGGGCGGGGGGCAGGGGGGGGGCCAGAATAGCTAGGGCTCCCAACTTCGCGCTTCGCGCTGCGCGAAGCGCGAATAACTTCGCGCTCTCGCGCCGCCCTCCCAAAGGGAGAATAGGAGGACGAGGAGGAGGGGGAGAAGGAACGAGGACCGCGAAGCGCGAAGCGCGAATAACTTCGCGCCCTCGAGGGAGCCCTTGAATAGGGCGGGGGGCAGGGGGGGGGGCCAGAATAGGGCGGGGGGGAGGGCGCATGGGAACGCCGCCACGTGGGCCTTCGGTTGAGCTCCCATCCGGGGCCCCGACGCGTGCCGGGGACGCGGCAGGATGGTTTTTTTTTAGGGCCGCGAGAGATGGGGCGCGCACCGTGGCCGCCCCGCAGGCGACCTGCGCTCCCAGCGGACCCCCCAGGGATGCTCTCGACCCCGTCCTCGATGTCGACTCCGCGCCCCGGGCTCGCTTCTGCAGGCCCTGGGGCCCGAAAGGGCCACAGGATGCTCGACATCGACATCGAGCATCGATGCTCGATGCTCGGGCCGGGCTCGTCCTCGATATCGACTCCGCGCCCCAGGATGCTCTCGACCCCGTCCTTCTGCAGGCCCTGGGGCCCGAAAGGGCCACATGGGGGCGCTCAGCCTTGAACGTCGTGGCCGACGACGACGACGACGACGACGACGACGACGACGACGACAACGACGACAGCCACGACGGCGGCGACGGCGGCGACGGCGACGACGACGACGACGGCGGCAGCGGCGGCGGCGACGACCCAGCCAGGAAACCAGAGCCCCTCCAGAACACAAGGTTGCCCTGGGAAAACACAGAAGTACCGATACCGCTACCCTCCAGACCTCTACCCTGGTGCCTTCTGCGTAGAGATTCGAAGAGCATCTGGCCGTGGCGACGAGGGCTCTCTAGGACGAGCAGCGGTATCGGTATCGCTTCCATCTCTGATTGACTCGATTCTTAGAACCCAGAAATGTTCTAAGGACAAAAACAATGTTCTTAGCACATAAACCCGATGTGTTAAAACAAGACAGTCCCAGCCAAAAATGTAAGAACATGTCGTGCAGACCACAACAGATACTTAGAACAGTGTTTGGTGGGCCTATAGGGGAGCCAGGACGCTTCGCCACTGCTTAAAAAACCGACCGACGCCGCTTCGGCAAGCGCCCCAGGTGCAGGGGCGAAAAAGGGCGGACCAGCGGGCCGCGGTGGCCCATCCTGCACGTTCGACGAGCTCCAGCCCCTCTCGTAGATGACGTCGACCTGCAAGACCCCGAAGTCTTCCGACCGAGAGGGGGCCCGACAGGAGGAGGCCGGCTCAGCCCCGCGGAGGAGCGCGAGGAGCAGGGACAGCAGGGAGAGGAGGAGGCAGCAGGGAGAAGGAGGAGGAGCGAGGAGCGAGGAGCGAGGAGCGAGGAGCGAGGAGCGAGGAGGAGGAGGAGGAGGAGGAGGAGGGAGGAGTAGGAGGAGGGAGGAGGAGGAGGAGGAGGAGGAGGAGGAGGAGGAGGAGGAGGAGGGAGGAGGAGGAGGAGGAGGGAGGAGGAGGAGGAGGAGGACGAGGAGGAGGAGCATCGACCTGGAATCGGCAACGCATCGCCGTTAGATCTGCGGCAGGCCCTCGACGGCGAACCCGAACGCTCCCGGGTGGGGTGGGCTGTCGGGCCCCTGTCGGCGGTCAGTGGGCGACTGGAGGGGCCACTGCGCCCCCCTTACTCAGCCCATCCCCCGAAACGATGCCCCTGGTACTCCTCTGGAACGCCATCAGGTCCCCCATAATCTCTCGGGCCGGGTGAAAGGGGGGGATAGCCAAAGGGGGGTTTGAGAATCAGCTCACGTAGCTGATTCTTCCGGCGCCTCCCGGCGCCGGGAGCGGCCATGTATCGAGGAATTGGCCCCTCGGTGAGGCCGAAACCAGCTGCATGCAGCAAATTTCGTAACCCCCCCTTTCCCAATCCCCCCCTTTCGCCCGACCCGAATCTCGTGTGAGGGATGAAATGAACGACCCTACCCTGGGTTACAAGCGCGTGGTCTGTAAGCCTCCTGGGAACCCCCCCAAAGCGTGGAGCCGCCTGGACGCGGCACATCACGCAGGGTGTACCCTGTCAGCCCACAGGAGTTTCAGCGCACAGCGCCTCGTAAACCAGGGTAGGGGCGTTTTTCATGCCCTTGATCATGGAGTCCTAAGGACGCCACACTCTGAAACCATTCGGCACACTCTGCTCCCAATCCCTTGGGAAGCCAGAGGTTACCGATACCGCCACTCCCCGGACCTCTTCCGCGGTGCGTTCTGACCAGGACTTCGAGGCGAACGCAGCGGTGGCGACGAGGGCCTCCAAGGGAACGCCAAAAAGCCGATAACGAGGGAATGGTAACGGTATCGGTACCTTTTTCTCCCCTTCCCACATCACCCCTCCCTCGGGTGTGCCGAAGGGCGGGGGACAGAAATCTGAAGAAGCCCAGGGACACATAAATAAAAAAATACAATTCCCAGGATTCCCCATACTTTCAATATGTTCTGGATGTTCGTCTTCTCCTTCACTTCCAATATGTTCCCACATTACCTTAGTATTCCGCGATTATGTGTGTGCGTGTGTGTGTGTGTGTTTGTGCTTGTGCTTGTGTGTAGCGTTTGCTCTTCCGCCAGCGCGGTCTAGCCGCCGACACAAAAAGCATGCGTATGTGTGTGTGTGTGTTTGTGTGTGTGCGCGTGTGCGCGCGTGTGTGCTTGTGTGCGCGTGTGTGTGCGTGTGTGTGTGTGTGTGTGTATGTGTGCGTGTGTGTGTGTGTGTGTTTGTGCGTGTATGTGTGTGTGCGTGTGTGTGTGTGTGTTCTCCTCCCTCCTGGAGGAGGGGGGGCCGGCGCGCCGTGGCGCGAGGCGTGTGCGCGGACGGGGGGCGCCCAAGGGGACGTGCGGGGCAGACGGAACGAGGGGGCCATGAAAGCCGGAAGGCTTCACGGGGGACGCGAGGGAAGGATGGCAAAGGGTAGGGCAGAGCCCCTCGATGTCCACACACCCCTCGACGCCCCCGACTCTCGGGGGAGACGCGAGGGAAGGATGGCAAATAGGAAGGCGCCAACTATACACCAACACCGATCCTGGCCAGGATCGGTGTTGGTGTATAGTTGGTGCCGTCCGAGCAAAGGGTAGGGCAGAGGATCAGCTCACGCAGCCGGTTCTCCTGGAGCAACCTGGCGCTGGGAGGCGCCCGTGTATCGAGGAATGGGCCCGGCGGCGGGGCCGAGACCAGCTGCATGCAGCAGATTGAATAATCCGCCATTTCCCAATCCTACCTTTCGTCCGGCCCGAGACTCTTTATCCTGCTCCACTTCCTCATCCCCTCCCCGCCCCACCTGAATACGAAACCAACTCCCTCCCCTTCCTCTCCTCTCCTCATCCGCCCCTCCCGCTCCCGGAATCGCCCGCCTCCGTCTGTGTACGCTACGGCAGCGTTTCGCCTTGGACGGCAGCAGTCACCACCTTCCGAAAGTAGCCCACAGCCTGCGTGATTACGTCACCACACAGGCTGTGAGGTCCGCGCGGACTTCTTGGGTCGGCGCTGGAGCCCCCTTGCGGTGCAGCCCCAGGCACGCTCTGCGCGACACGGAAGGGGGCCCAGCGCCCATCCAAGAAACTCGCGCGGACCTCCGAAAGGTTCCGATCGTGCCGCGGCCAATTCTTCGCCTCCCCGCCACTCTTTCGCGCCGGGCGGCTTGCGGGCCACAGCTCGGGCCCCTGGCGGTTTCGCCTCCCCGCCCCTCTTCCACGCCGGGTGACTTGCGGGCCACAACTCGGGCCCCTGGCGGCCGCTCAGGACGATCCAGGCACCCACAGAACGCTCTCGACGAGGCGCAGCCGCTGGAGGCCATCCTGGGTCCCGAAAACTCCCGAAAACGTTCGATGATCGCCGACTCCGAAGGGTGTGACTTGCAAATCGTGCGGTTTGCATCCAGCGCCAGAGGGGGGCGGGCGAGGACCTCGACAGAGCTTTCCGCCGCACCCCGACGAGGGCAACGTGGTGCCCCTCAAGCCCCAACGGCGCAGATGGCAGACCACACCCCAGCGTAACCACACCCTGTGCAGACCCCGAGAAGACGCCCGAAAGCTCCCAGAAACCACCGGGCGTCGAGTGCGAGGCCAGAGTGGCCTCCGGCGGCGCCCGGGCGCCCTCTCGCCCTCTCCCCGCCAGGGAGGAGGAGGAGAAGGAGGAGGAGGAGGAGGAGGAGGAGGAGGGGAGAGAGGAGGAGGAGGAGGAGAGGAGGAGGAGGAGGAGGAGGAGGAGGAGGAGGAGGAGGAGGAGGAGGAGGAGGAGGAGGAGGAGGAGGAGGAGGAGGAGGAGGAGGAGGAGGAGGAGGGGAGGCGGAGGAGGAGGGAGGAGGAGGAGGAGGAGAGGAGGAGGAGGAGGAGGAGGAGGAGGAGGAGGAGGAGGAGGAGGAGGAGGAGGAGGAGGAGGAGGAGGAGGAGGAGTAGTGAGTGAGTGAGCGAGACCAGTCGCGAAGCGAATCCGAAAGACCTAGGAACCCCGACGAGCGAGCTCGGCCCGACTCCGAACCTTGGGCCATTGCCCATTAGCGATTATGGATAAACACTCGGCTCGATTGGAATTCGGAGCCTTGAGACATGGTTGTCAAAGGCCTCTGAACATCTGTCTAGCAAAGTACCCGCAGCTCGAACAGAACCAGAGCTTTAGAGTACCGTGCAGACGCATCGTGTGTGTTTCATGCGCCAACCCCACAGCGATGTGCAGCCGAGCCCCTGACGGCACCCCGAAAACCTCGCCATTGATATACGAAGGCAGGAAGCAGGGCGTGTCACGCCAAACAGATTGACGGGCTATCGTGGCGGAGCTACAACAAGTGAGGCATCGACGGCCGCACTCGGCAAGACGGTGATTGATGGATAAAATTTGCACAACAGACGGGGCGGGAGGAGGAGCAGGTGAGGGCTCAGATTTGTTCCTGGGGCCAGGCCCCCGCAGCTCCTTCTCTCGCTCGAGCGTGTCGACCGTGGCTCTGAGAAGACGTAGACGGACCAATAACGCCTTCTTTTCCCACGTCGTAACACGATACACAACATCCTCGGGCATTTGGCACCTGGCAGCGGCAGCGTGAGCGAGCTCGTCAGCAACAGTACTTCCCAAGACCATCCACAGGGGGGACTGTCGGGCCATGACGTCGCTGGCCTCGAGATGCGAGTTGACGAATAACACCACAAACGAGGACGGATCTCTCTGCCTGTACTGCACACCGATGCGGTGCCAAAGGTCCGCATCAACTCCTTCTGGCTCCAGGTAGCGCCGTTCGGGCCACCCGTTAGCCACATTCTGATTGTCGGTGGTGAAAACTACACAGCCTGACGAGTACTCAGCTGCAAGAAGGAGCGCGCGCAGCTCTCCTCGCGGCACCGACTGGCGAGGTCCTATCAGGGCCCCCGAGACTGTCGTGGGCATCACCAGCGGCTCGAAGCAAGACACGGTACATACTGCGAGGCCCACCCGTCTAAACCTCGAGTCACCCGAATACTTGCCGCCACTGGCGTCGCCAAATAGATGCAGAGGCTGCTGCCAAGTGTCTGTGCCAAACCAAACTGAATCCTCCTCGTTCGACAGATCCGAAGAGAACCAACGTTCCTCCTCGCCTGGCGGGGGAATGGACACCCAGCTTGACGGCAGCAGCCCACGCAGCCAGAAGCACTCGGCCGACTCCCAATTTGTGTAGGCCTCCTGCACCAGACATTCGGAGTGAGCGTGCGCTGGAGCTCCCGTGTTATGTGAGCAACCCCAGATACGATGCAATTGGCATTCTTTTTCCACCCAACAACGCGGGCAGAGCTGATCGATGACGACCCCCTTGGAGGAAGCTACTTCTGCCCGGCGAAATCGAGGCCACGAAGCCCCTGCCGCTATCGTGACAAGCAGCTCCGACAAACGGATACCGCGATCCAAACTCAACAACTGGGCGTGAAGGCGGCGAAGCGAAGTGCCGTCAACACCCTCCTCCATGCCTCCTCCGCAGTAGTCCCCAGCCGCGTCGCGCCATACCTGTCGAGAAATGGAACACTGAACATCTCGAATACGTCCGCCTGGGTCGTCCACGTCAGGCCAGCCTTCCCAAACATGATCAAGAAAATGCCATTCAATAGTTTCGCCTTCTGCAGTCTCCGCTGGCCTGGTCCAATCTGTGGCGGAAACAGGGCCCCAACCAAGACTCAAGCGAAGATTGGTGATGGCTGACACTGGTCCTCGTACGTGCCGAGACCGTTGTTC